AATCACGTCCTTCACATGCAAGTATCACGTCCTTCGGATTCTAGTATCACATCCCTCACTTTCCAGTATCACGTCCTTCACTTTCCAGTATCTCGCCCTCCCCTTTCCAGTATCACGTCCTTCACGTGCCAGTATCGGGTCCTTCCCTTTCCAGTATCTCGCCATTCGCATGCCAGCATAACGTCCTTCACATTGCAGTATAACGTCCTTCACATTCGAGTATCACGTCCTTCACATGCCAGTATCACCTCCTTCACATTCCACTATCACGTCCTTCACTTTCCAGTATCACGTCCTTCACTTTTCAGTATCACGTCCTTAACATGCCAGTATCACGTCCTTCACATTACAGAATCACGTCCTTCACATTCCAGTATCACGTCCTTCACATGCCAGTATGACGTCCTTCACATGCCAGTATCACGTCCTTCACTTTCGAGTATCACGTCCTTCATATTCATGGATCACGTCCTTCACCTTCCAGTATCACGTGCTTCACATGCAACTGTTTCGACATTCATATTCCAGTATCACGTCCTTCACTTGGAAGCATCATGTCCTTCACATCCCAGTATCATGTCCTTCACATTTCAATATCACGTCCTTCACTTTCCAGGTTCACGCCCTTCACATGCCAGTATCACGTCCTTCACATTCCAGTACCACGTCCTTCACATTCCACTATCACGTCCTTCATATTCCACTATCGCGTCCTTTACATGCCAGTATCACGTCCTTCACATTCTAGTATCACGTCTTTCATATTCAAGGATCACGTCCTTCACATGCCAGTATCGTGTCCTTCACATTCCAGTATCACGTCCTTCACAAGCCAGCATCACTTCCTTCACATTCCAGTATCATGTCTTTCACATGCCAGTATCACGTCCTTCATATTCCAGTATCACGTTCTTCATATTCCACTATCACGTCCTTCACATGACAGTATCATGTCATTCACGTGCCAGTATCGGGTCCTTCCCTTTCAAGTATCTCGTCCTTCCCTTTCAAGTATCTCGTCCTTCCCTTTCCAGTATCACGTCATTCACGTGCCAGTATCGGGTACTTCCCTTTCCAGAATCTCGCCATTCGCATGCCAGCATAACGTCCTTCACATGCCCCTGTTTCGTCATTCACATTCCAGTATCACGTCCTTCACATGCGAGTATCACGTCCTTCACTTTCCAGCATCGTGTCCTTCACTTTCCAGTATCACGTCCTTCACAAGCCAGCATCACGTCCTTCACATTCCAGAATCATGTCTTTCACATGCCAGTATCTCGTCCTTCACATGCCAGTATGTCCTTCACATTCCAGTATCACGTCCTTCGGATTCTAGTATCACGTCTTTCAGTTTTAAGTATCACGTCCTTCACATTCCAGTATCACGTCCTTCACATTCCAGTATCACGTGCTTCACATGCAACTGTTTCGACATTCATATTCCAGTATCACGTCCTTCACTTGCCAGCATCACGTCCTTCACATTCCAGTACCACGTCCTTTACATGCCAGTATCACGTCCTTCACTTTCCAGTATCACGTCCTTCATATTCAAGGATCGCGTCCTTCATCTTCCAGTATCACGTCCTTCACATGCCACTGTTTCGTCCCTGACATTCCAGTATCACGCCCTTCATTTGCCAGTATGATGTCCTTCACTTGCCAGTATCACGTCATTCACGTGCCAGTATCGGGTCCTTCCCTTTCAAGTATCTCGCCCTTCACATGCCAGCATAACGTCCTTCACATTCCAGTATAACGTCTTTCAGTTTTAAGTATCACGTCCTTCACATCCCAGTATCATGTCCTTCACATTCCAATATCACGTCCTTCATATTCCACTATCACGTCCTTCACATGCCAGTATCACGTCCTTCACATTCCAGTACCACGTCCTTCACATTCCACTATCACGTCCTTCATATTCCACTATCGCGTCCTTTACATGCCAGTATCACGTCCTTCACATTCTAGTATCACGTCCTTCATATTCAAGGATCACGTCCTTCACATGCCAGTATCGTGTCCTTCACATTCCAGTATCACGTCCTTCACAAGCCAGCATCACTTCCTTCACATTCCAGTATCATGTCTTTCACATGCCAGTATCACGTCCTTCATATTCCAGTATCACGTTCTTCATATTCCAGTATCACGTCCTTCACATGACAGTATCATGTCATTCACGTGCCAGTATCGGGTCCTTCCCTTTCAAGTATCTCGCCCTTCACATGCCAGCATAACGTCCTTCACATTGCAGTATAACGTCTTTCAGTTTTAAGTATCACGTCCTTCACATCCCAGTATCACGTCCTTCACATTTCAGTATCACGTCCTTCACTTTCCAGGTTCACGTCCTTCACATGCCAGTATCACGTCCTTCACATTCCAGTACCACGTCCTTCACATTCCACTATCACGTCCTTCATATTCAAGGATCACGTCCTTCACATGCCAGTATCGTGTCCTTCACATTCCAGTATCACGTCCTTCACAAGCCAGCATCACTTCCTTCACATTCCAGTATCATGTCTTTCACATGCCAGTATCACGTCCTTCATATTCCAGTATCACGTTCTTCATATTCCACTATCACGTCCTTCACATGACAGTATCATGTCCTTCACGGGGCAGTATTAAGACCTTGACATGCCAGTATCACGTCCTCCACATTCAATTATCACGTCTTGGACACACGGTAAAAAGTAAATGACATAAGAACAATCCAGCAATATATCACTCTTTGTAGGGATTTGATGGAGCTTTGGAATCCAGTACAAATGAGTATTGGACATGTCTTCAGGCTCTGGAGCCAAGCCAAACGTCGATAGTAATGATGCATAGCATTGACAGGTTTTCCTCAGTTAACGTAATGTCCGAAAATGTGGAACAGTTATCTTGGGAGTTCAAGCCAGTGTAGCGTCGTAATTTCCGGCCACCTTTTCCTTGTTAACCTCAGCGGCGAAGCTTAAAAGCGGAGATTTGATTGTTGTTTTAAAATAAATACAAGGTGACCACAAATGAACACGATTGTGTGGCCAATGGTTAGTTTAGCAGGTGCTAATAAATTGAAATATGGTTGAAATAAGTGACATTGTTGTTAACCTGAAATAGGATTTCAATAAATCTATGATGACTGGTGTCATGACATATATACTTGATACAAGGAGACGTTTCATGTAGGACCAGCTCAAGCAACGTTATTACAATTTAGGTGGGCCTTTTATGAACAGACACGCCCTTTATATATGTTCGTAACTGTTGACGAAAAGCAACTAAATCACATGCACATTCAATGCATATAATGGTGAAATAGACCATTTTTGGAGTCACTTTTAGTCTTTGTGTAAATATTTATTTGTTTATTTCTCCAAATTCGGCAGGAGTCGAACTAAGTCGAATTATTCTGTAAAGTCCATGACAGAAAAAAACAATAAATGCCGTCCTGCAAAGTCATGTTTTACTAACAATTCAATTAGTTAATATCCGTGTATACCACTTTATTTCCTGTTTGACGTTGTTGTCCATTCTTTGCCTCAAGTTTATCTTAGTTTTGTGAATACGTGACTGTCCCAAGTACTTGCATATGTTTTAGCAGCTCTGTTTCCATCAACGTGCATAATACTATCACCAGGCAGTTTCATATCTAATATTAGTCTCTTGTTAAATATGAATGAGTTGAAGGTCCGAAACTTTTACGACCTGTGACATGTAACATTTCTATTTTCATTATTCAACCCATTCTCATCACTCTTCTTTGATCGGCTAATATTGAAATGATTGTAATGTCCATTCGGAAAACGACACTATTTATATTGTGGACTGGATGCCGTTGTACATAGCAACCTTAGTGCTATGGTTGTCGTAAGCCTATGTCGAGTTACGATCACCTTAGCGCTAAGATCGCTTTGTACAACGGCACCCCGGTGTGTATCAATATCCCACAAAAGTATTCAATGTTGTGAACATAAGCCCTGCATTAAAACTTACATTCGGGACCTTATGCAAATGTAGTAGGGCACCCAAGTACACTAAGGCATTAATAAACATAACTCGGCTATACCTGCTACGTTTATCGATCAATTCATGATGAGGTCTACCCTTCGTGACAAGTTCATTATCAAGCATGTTTTGCTCTTGCAAAGGGTTAACACACACATCGCTATATCGGTAATAATCCGATAAACCCACTTTCACCCCACCTCCCCTCACCTTACCTCTAAAGATGATGTCATCCGTTGTTCGTGCCATCACAGACTGTTTCACGAGACGTCTATCCAACACTGATTTGACCGTGCTGATCAGTCTCCATTTGTGATTGGGGAACATAAATATTTCACGCAAATAAAACATTGAAAAACATTGATTAAAAACATCATATCTATATGCAATGATATGAATAATTATATATGCAAACATATGGCTCTCAATATATCCACTGACGCCAAATGGCTGAAACACTGTCGCTATCTGGCTGGCTGAAACATTGTCTTTGCCCCCTGAACTTTTAAGTCAGCCACTGTTTTACTATTTGCCCAAACAATGTCGCTATATGGCTAGCAGAAACATTGTCTTGGTGCTCTTAACTTCTACGTGTACGTCACCCACTGTGTCACTGTTTGCTGAAACACTGTCGCCATATGGCTGGATGAAACATTGTCTTTGCCCACTGAACTTCTAAGTCACCCTATGTGTCACTATTTGCTGAAACACTGTCGCTATGTGGCTGAAACACTGTCGCTATATGGCTGGCTGAAACGTTGTCTTGGCGTCCCTAACTTCTACATATACGCCACCCACTGTGTCACTATTTGCTGAAACACTGTTGCTATATGGCTGGCTGAAACATTGTCTTGGCGCCCTTAACTTCTATGTCACCCATTGTGTCACTATTTGCTGAAACTGTGTCGCTATATGGCTGGCTGAAACATTGTCTGAACGCCCTTAAATTCAAAATCACTTACTCGTTTTATACTAGTATCTGTATTTCGTTCCAGCTTGAACAAGAATATGACGACTTTCCGGATCGTACTGATTAGTAGCATCATTTTGTGGTCAGCAGAGTTTCTGCCGGGTAAGGCAACTTTTTCGTTTGTTTGTTTGTTCATTGTTGTTAAACGCCGCTCTCAGCAATACTCCAGCTATAGGACAGCGGTCTAAATAATCGAGTCTGGACCAGACTGGACCAGTTGGCGAGCCTGACCACCCGATCCCGTTAGTCGCCTCTTTCGACAATCATAGCCACAAGCATAGTCACCTTTTACGGCAAGCACGGGTTGCTGAAGACCTATTTTACCCCACATCTTCACGGGTCAGCAACATTTTCACAGTGCGATCATTATTTATTGTGGAAGTCTCTCCTATACTTAAAACGAATAATTATTTCATATTTATTTTAATAGCCAGTGGTAATCCATTCATTCACTCACTCATTCATTCATTCATTCATTCATTCATTCATTCATTCATTCATTCATTCATTCGTTCATTTGATGGGGTAAATAATGAAAGCATGGTAATGTGTGCTACAATCTGATTGGTTGAAAAACGTTGGATCAGTAAATCGTTCGGATTATAACTGTGAATGCATACTTTTCTTGTTAACATTCTGTTTTTCTCAGCCCAAAATTTGATAAAAATGCGCGAATCGTTATGAAAATGGACACCACATAACAGTGGTGCACGATATTTACTGATAACAATTGTATTTTCAAATAAAGATTTTTTGTGTTTCAGATTTGCGAGTGTTAACGCCGTCGATTTGAAATTAAATTTCAAGGCATCAAATACTCCATAATACCCGCAAATGTTAACACCTGCAATGTTCATCTCCTTCCTGAATGAAGTTTAATAAACCCATAACAGATTACTTATAATTATAAGAAGCAAAACTAGTCCTATTGTCATAAGAAATCGCTGAAAAAAGCACAACTCATTATACGATTCCGACTTTGTCAAAAGCATGTCCTTATGAATCACTATCAAATAGTGATGGCACCAGGAGTTCTGAACTGGTGGGCGTTTCTTGCCCCACTGGTGACACCCGTTACAAACACATATGAAGGCAAATCTACACTTCATATACTGCAATAAACCCAGTGCCTAAAGAAATTATGAAACATTTAGTACATACTGAATTGTCCCTAGAGATAGGTGTACTTTATGTATTGTGGCCGGCGAGGTAGCCTAGTGGTTAAAGCGTTTGCTCGTCACGCCGAAGGCCCGGGTGACTTGGTCGATGGTTGATGATAAAGTTTACCGTTACTTGTCAACACTCTCCAGCGGGAATATTCCTTACTATGTGTTAATCTTATTAATATATATTTTAATCTTGTTAGTGGTATGATTGAAAACATAAATCAGATGAAATCATGCATCGATAATAATTGCTTATTTTGGTTGTAGTATCGACGGATAGGCCATGCCAGGGAATCGCCCATCTTGGTGGAAAATACAACATCTCCGCAGAGATATCGTATGAAAAGTACGTTTGGAGAAGCCCAAGAGGACAGAATGTCGTCACATGCAATCCATCATGCAGTCCTACAGCTGGTTATCCTGCAACCCTGACAAATGGTGGGAACACATCAACGCTCATGATAGAAGAAGTTAAACTTAAAGATGTGGGAACGTGGAGCATTACTAATACCACTGACCTCGCAACTATGTCTGCATGTTATTTAGATGTCGCAGGTTAGTATGCATGAAGACATCGGTTTTTTTTTAATTTACAGGGACTGATATCGAAAATGTCAAGTGAAATATAACTAAATATTATTCTTAATTAGCATCATATAATAATTGATCAAATCTGAGCCTCTTTAATTTGTTCAAACCAAATAAAATTCATTTGGCACATCGCGTTTCGAAAATAACAGGCAAGTTATAACTGATTAATAAAATATACTTGGATACCCGAATCTACTTAATGGATGTCCTCTTTTCGTTACATTATAATTATTACGGAACGATGCGGGTGTTGTGTGAGACTAACAAAACACGCGTTATGTTGACGTTATTTTTCCTTTCTTTTTATCAATAGGACTTCCAAGCTGCATCATCACCAGCTCTCAAGCCCCTCATTCCCTTGAACCAAATTCGATGCTGACCCTCGCCGTAGTCATACGGGGTTACTACTGCTCTAAACAGGCACAGTTTGATCTTACCACTGGCCGTGAGGTCCCAAATGTGTTGTTGAAGAACGACACCGTTGACGATGTCACTGACCGCATCCTCAACACCACCTTCAACGTGACACTGGAGAGGCTTGGAAATATCAAACTTGACTTTACTTGTGCTAACACAACTTATAATCTTACTTGTGGAGGGGTGAATACACTACTTAAGAGTAAGTAGAAACTTTAAAATATTAAACAGTGTATATGGTATTTAAAAATTGTCTGAGATGATTTTAAGTGATCCATTCATGTCATTTTCGCTAGTATTTAACCAGTAGCTGTTCAGTCGCATGCTCGAGACGGATTATTCTCGGGCGTTGCAGTTTTATATTTACGTATATATGTAAAGATTGTTGTGGTTTTTTTCTCAAATCAGAAGTAAAAGAATTGATGTCGAAGTGCTTCTGTATCTGCTACAATTCGCAAGAGACAAAAACAATGTTCAGTTATGTTCCACTAAGCCCTCAAAAGGTGTAGAGATTACATACATTTATATTCGTAGAGATTCTATGTTTTTCCTAGTAGTGATTTCTTTCCAAAACTGAATTTACATTATCATACGTCAGTGGCTCAGATAGAGCTAAGACTGATTACAATGACATGGCTTAAACAGGTTTCAGAATAGATAATGTTTGTGATTCTTTTTTACATGATTCGTTGCGGTAAGTGTTAATGATACTTGGTTCAAGAGGCTGCTGTCCCAGTTTAATTTTTTTTAAATATTCCATTAAATAAAATGAACTTGTTCGGGAAGGATGGATATCATTATTGAACATAATAACCACTTCCGTTGCCCGCTTATTTGCTTCCGTTATGAAACCCGCATTCCAACGGTATGAATTTTGAATATACAGGCCTTCCTCAGTGTGACATAAGCAGCTCTGGGAATGGATCTCTGATGCCTGGTACAAGCCTGACTCTCACTGTGAACATCACCAACTACTACTGCACTGAAGAGGCTGCGTTCGATCTCAGCACCGGTAGCGTCAAGGAGGAGCTGGTAGGGAGTCATCATGTTGTGGACATCAACAGCACGGTCGTCATGAAAACATTCAATGTCACATCTGCGCATAATGGAAACATCAAAGTCAGCTTCAGCTGTGACGACATAAATCGTGAACTAAGTTGCACTGGTGATGACACAATAACTATAGGTAAATATATGCTCAAAAATAAGTGATGTTTAGATGTATTTTTTAGATAGCATATAAACAATCAACAGATAGTAATTGATTGTTCAAATCTTGCACGTATCATTGTTTTTGACCAAGGTGTTTCATATGACACACATGGAACAGTAAATTTGCAAGGAGAAGTTGATCTGTTTTCTGTGTCCTTGACACCATTGACATCGCAGCCGACGATGCAGGTCCGTCAATATATTATTAATATGACAACTCGCACTGGTCGTCTTGTGGGAATACCTTCAGCGCGTAAACGGTTCCTCACTGTCTGGGCTGATATCCTACGCAATCCTGGTATTGCCGTAGTTGTAGAGGTGACCGTGGTGGTTCTTTCACGTAAGTGACGTAGCCGTATGAATCTGTCCTGTGCCCTGTACTGATACGTGGTCGACCGGACCTGGAAAAGCCACGTGCCTGACAACGGTTCCACGGTCTTGTAATGGTGCATGGTGCTATGTGGAAAAACCTGGCTACAGCTGCAGACGATTTTCCTGATTGCAGTCGGCCGTTGGCTTTGTTGCGTTGGGCTTCCGTCAGTCGTGGCATGTTTTCGCTGTTCACTTGCTGTAAGATTGTGATGTCATGCAACGTCAGAGTGTAGACTTTCATTTCTTTCAAATGGTTAAGGTCGCAACTTGGCATGCTGACGTCAAACGAGGCGACCGAAACCGTGCTGGCGACAAACAGCTCTGTAGGACTTTAAAGCATTAAACATGCCTTTTCTTTGCTACCTTTCGCCAAACTTTATTAGCCATGTGGAACAAGAGATAAGGCTACACCAGAATAATTTCAAAATGTACTTGTATTATGCGTCTGTCAACAGGAGTCTTTGACCTCGATGATGTATTGGGTCTATGTTTTCTAAGATAGAGGCTCATACACAATAGAACAATGAACCAAATAGCATAACAGTCATATTTACCCTTGAAGGAGGATTACCTGCCATTCCAATTTCTTTTTAATGGTGTTTATATGCATACTAGACTTGATACACAAAGACATCATGAACAGTATAAGGGCAAAGAATGACCTAAATGACCTGTTTAATACCAATGTCTTGCTCTACAATATTCTAATTACCTTTGGACATTGTTATGACTTATCACCCCTCGTTTGAAGTAGGTGAAATTTGTATTTCATCATTTTTTTCACCTTTGTAGTTGGAGTGACATCAACTGCAAAACCACCAATATCGACGCCTACGTGTGGGTATATTTAGTTGCCCCATACTCTTTCTGTAATTCTATTGGCTTATAATGTATAAAGTATATATCGTATCGATACATGTTTACATTTTGTTGTCATTGATAAACTCTGATAATATAACTGAATACAAACTGACTGGGTATAAATAGAATCTGATAGAAGTAGACTCTTATGTATTTTTCGTGCTTTCAGCAACAACATTGCCTTCTACAAGTGCATATAACTTGTACTGATATTCATTTAAAAATCATAGCTTTATGATACGTATCTGTGATCCAATTGTAAGATCTATTTGATTTCATTGAAACATTCAGTCAAAAACATATCTATCAAAACACATTCCATGAACACTTCTGTTACAATAGATAATAAAAGATGGGGTACACACTTTGGAGTGACAAATAACAAACTGAACCATTCAATAGGAATGTGCTGTCTTTAGAGCTTCTAAGTGTGATTATCTGACTGTACTGTTAATTGCCTTTTTACTTCCACAGTGAAAGCCTCCACCACCTCCTCCAACTCCATCCCCACTTCCACCAATAAATCTCCAACACCAGCATCTGTACCTGTTTACCTTATCATAGGTATAGTGGCTGCATTGCTCGTGGTGCAATCTCATCATCTTTGTCCTGGTTGTCTGTCGCAATAGAATCTCAAGCGTTGCACGGAGGTAGATCGTTTCAAGGAAGAGGCCTCAAATTCAGAACTTGAGGGAAAATGAGAAGTCGAAGAATGGGATCAACTGCTGGGCGCCGTTTGACAATGGCCACGTCATGTTTGTTTGTAAACACGGAAAGTTGTCCTTATCTGACCTTTCCTATTTGCATCTTTATCCGTATATGACCGCAACTGATACCGTCTTCTTCCTTTTTCATTATCCTAGAAACCTAGCCATTATATAATAAATTTAGATATTCTAATTCTGATTTTTTAATATATATGTTAGCCAATAAACAGGAACAATTGTTGAAAAAAACATTTATTTCTATTCAAAAGAGTTGTTAGTTTTGTGTTATGTGTATGTGATCAAAAGATAAAAAAACCCATTAAGTCAGCTCAATTTGTATTAGGCGACTATGCTTGTCCTCAGAGCAATTAACGGGATCAGGTGGTCAGGCTCGCTGACTTGGTGGATGCATGTCATCGTATCCCAATTGCGTGGATCGATGCTCATGATGTCTGGTGCAGACTTAATTATTTACAGACCGCCGTCATATCGCTGGAATATTGCTGAAGGGCGGGTTTCACCAACAAAAAAACCGAAACAATATAACCGAATGGCACGATATTGAGTCTGAGGACTTGGCCAGTGTAGCGGAGAGCTGTGATGCCATTACCCCTGTCTGGACCAATATTCTGAAAGACCACAGGTCCCGCTCTCTGGTTCAGTCCGATTCCATCCCAAAACCATGATGCTTGGGCCGCCCAATTGGTCTCGTTTGCATAACACAAGCATCAGCATAACGTTCGCCCCTCCTTCGCCAGACCCTGACTCTGCCATCCACCGTTGAAACACAGTAGCGACTTTCATCAGTGAAGATGATTCTTCTCCATTGCTGTTGACGCCAATTTTGATGCTGCCTGGCCCATTGCAGTCGGGCCTGTCGGTGACGATCTCTCAGGATGGGTACGAGATGTTGTTGGCAGTTAGGCGACGTCGGACTGTACAATCACTGATGGCACGCTGGTGGTTGCCGATGGTTTGCCGAGCTGTTTCAGTGGCCATCGGTTCTGCAGATGTTGGCGTATCATGAACCGATCTTGTCTGGGAATAGTGACTCTAGGACGACCACTACGCGGTCGGTCGTCGGTGGTGTTCGGCGTGTTGTGGCGACGTTGCAAACGACATATCGTTCTGACTTTGACATTGAATGCATTCGCAACCTGTGCACAGTTTTGGGTGTCTTTTATACCCATACCATTCACGATTTTTGACAAGACATTTCCGCAACTGAGTCCCATTGCACTTTTGTAAGCTGCGTTTGGGCAAAGCACTCCATTTTAAACTTAATTGTTAAATGGACTTTAAGGCAACAAAAAGAAGCAGTAGAACGATAAATGAGTTTATTGACAACACAACTGCCAGTGTCTGTTTCGGATCAGTATTTTCAGAAGTGACGTTTCTTTTGCCTTTCATTGTACATGCACTCTCCCCAAAAAAGAAACGCACAGGTAGATTTTTAGTAAATTTATCATACCTAATAAAGTCGATATATTGAATTTAATATCACAGATACAAATATGCAGTCTCCGTAGCTGTGGCATTGCGATGACGTATGTGGAACAGTCGAATGTAACGATCCTACGCAGGGGTGGTAACTCTTGGTCGGACGGTTCTCGGACGGTCTGCAGTGGAATTGAACCGTGTGTATCGGTCCCAAAGGCGGCAAATGGTGCTGTGGTGAACGTTGAAGTGGCGTGCAACTGAATACTGCGATTCCCCTCTTTGGATACGTCCAATGGCGATGTTCCGATCGGCAGCGCTGAGTCTCGGCATTTTCGAACTTGAAAAATGTTGACAATTGAATGATAAAGTATTGGCTTATACTTGCCTTTTTATAGCCACTACCACGAGTTACGAATGCCATAACTTGTACGTGCATTTTGCTTTACTGTTTTCCTCCATGACATTTTTGAACAAGTGTGAAAACAATGCCGTTTAAGACATTGCAAATCGACAATGGCTGCGTTTTGACGCACCGTTTGTCGAATATCAGGCCACCAACATTTTCCAATAACATATATCCAATTTATATACCGGATTCTTTTGTATAGTCAGGTTCATTAAACTACATACTACCTGTGCGTTTATTTTTTTAAGAGTTTATGTATACGTGTATGTATATGCATGGGCGGATACAGCTTTTTTGAAAAGGGGGGGGGGGGGGGGGGGGGAGGGGTGCACAATTAAGATCTATTTATTGTCTCTGGTGGTAATTTATAGAGAAATAAAGATTTTTTTTCGAAATAAAAAGGGGGGAAGTGTATCCGCCCATGATATGTATTCCTAAATGTCGTGTAGCTGTAGCCTCGTTTAGATGCAGTTTCCATCAGCTTGGGTAAGTGAGTGAGTTGGGTTTAACGCCGTTTTTAACATTATTCCAGTATTATCACAGCGTGTCAGCTTAATGTGGGAGGAAAGCCCGAAGTAATGCAGGTCTCAGACGTTTACCACTTCGGTGAAACCCACGAGCACGGGTATGGTGCTGATAAACCTAGAAACATAATCGGGGCCACCCGTGCCCCCCTATCAGCTTGGAATTGGGGTGAGGTGAAAAAGAGTTAACGTCGCGTTCAACAACACCTACCAAACTGAATATTCAATAGGTTATCTTGAAAAGTGAAAATGTTATCTTGAAGTCAAAACATTACTTTGGTTATTCAAAAAGCTGCTGGTACATTGTAAGAGTCAGTACGGTTTTAAGCCGCTTTTTGTCCAGAATTCTCACCATGGGGAAAGCAAAAAGTGGGCTTCACACACTGTAACCATGTGGAATATCGAACTGGGGTGTTCGGCGTGACGAGCTAACATTTCAACCACTAGACTTCCCTACCGCCCCGTATACATTTAAGAGCGAGTGAGTTGGGTTTAACGCCGCTTTTAACAGTATTACAGTTATATCACGGCGTGTCAGCTTAATGTGGGAGGAAAGCCCGAAGTGATGCAGGTCTCAGACGTTTACCACTTCGGTGAAACCAACGAGCACGGGTATGGTGCTGGCAAACCCAGAAACATAAACGGGACGAACTGGGATTCGAACCCACAATTATAGGTTTAGAATTTAGAATACTATTTTAATCAATGTATTATCGATAAATAAATATGGTGGCTTAAAAGTCTTCCACAGAAGAAGTGTTTAACAATTAGCACAAAGAAGTCGGCGCAAGGATTATTTCACGTGGGCCGGTGAAACCCGTTCTCTACTGTGGCTATCGATCGACAGAACCAGCGGAATAATTACTGATGACAGTCAAAAGTAGGACGAAGCATATTAGCGTGATCTTACCATTTCTTTGGCACAGCGGGAAATGGTAAAGGTCCCAGACGTGAATGTATACAGCATAGGTAATTAACCACCGAGACACACCGCCTGATTCCGCCTGATTCCGCCTGATTCACAACCTAGCCAACGACAATACGGGTTATACAATTGTCTGGTTTACAGTGTTCAACGTCGTAGTCTTTCAAACAGCTGTCTTCAATATTTTTTCATCAAACTTTGCAGGTCTGTCATGGTACATGGTGAACTGGTGCATTTTGCTATTTAGAAATTTTAGAAATTTTTATTTTTTACGTTCATCAAACATTGCAGGTCTGTCATGGTACATGCTGAACTGGTGCATTTTGCTATTTAGAAATTTTAATAATGTTTATTTTTTACGTTTCCATGGCAACAAGATGGACTTAGGTTCTGTGAGGGTAGGGTTCGTTTCCGGAGCATAACTCATAAACCGTTCAATAATTTTTCATCAAACTTTGCAGGTCTGTCAGGTACATGCTGAACTGGTGCCTTTTGCTATTTAGAAATTTTAATTTTTTTAATTTTTTTACGTTTCCATGGCAGCAAGAAGGACTTAGGTTCCAAACTCTTCTTTTTTTTACAATTTCCATGACAAGTTTCACCAAGTTTTATTTAGATTTAATTATGTCATAAATTCTGCAACAGGGGCGGGGGATATAGCCACGTTAGTGGCAAACTCTTGTTTTCTTTAAAAAACTATTTGCTGTTCATAAATACACACCGCCTGATTCCGCCTGATTCCGCCTGATCACAATCTAGCCAACGACAATATGGGTTACAATTGTCTGGTTTACAGTGTTCAACGTCGTAGTCTTTCAAACAGCTTTCTTGAGTTTAACTCAAATTTGATCAACCTGTGTGATATAAACAAATTATATATATTTTTTCTTATAATGATTTATGGCATTTAACCGCCAAATCCTGCCTGTCGTAAAAGGCGACTATGCTTGTCGTAAAAGGCGACTAACAGGATCGGGTGGTCAGGCTCGGGTGGTCAGGCTCGCTGACATGGTTGATGCATGTCATCGTATCCCAATTGCGTGGATCGATGGTCATGATGTCAATCACTGGATTGTCTGATCCAGACTCGATTATTTAAATACCGCTCTCATATAGCTGGAATATTACTGAATGCGGTGTGAAACACCAAACAAACAAACAAACATGATATTTTACAAAACAGAAAATATTTTGTATTTTTATCTCATTACTCCATACGGAGTAGCCATGTACGTATATTGCCATTACCGACTGAAGCAGACCTATAATATCCCCATACGGTAAAATACCACCCATGGCTGATCCATTCGTGACTACTCGTGTCATTTCGGAACATGCCTTACATGTTACGGAAAAGGTCGAATGGTGACGAATGATAACGATCGTGACAGACATTCATGATCAGATCCAGTTTCAGTTGAGATTTCTTATGATTATGAAAATGTTTTTTTATCGTTTGGCAGCAATGGAGTTGTAATACTGAAAGCCACATACCGACTAATCCGTCCTATATTTAGGATCGCACAGCATGGCACTTTTGAGACATGTCCATATGGTTGTCAGGAATGAGGTGAACATTTTCAGATGAGCAACATCTTTAATGGGTTCAATACTGTCAGCAAACAATGTTCTGTAACGAGTGAGAGAGTGAGTATGGTTTTATGCCGCTTTCAAGGCAGGGAACATCAGAAACGGGCTTCACACATTGGCGTGACGGGCGAAGTTTTGAAACTGAAATAGTCACGTGGACGAGAGAAACTCGTGACTCCAGGTGAACTATGGATTCCTCTCTCGTACGAGTGAGCTGTTCATATATTTAATTGAACCAGGAGACTTACAATTATATTTTGTTGCTAGAAAAGTAGTTTTATAAGAATTAAGACAGGGCATGGAAGTCATTATTT